TACATATACATATACATATGCATATAGATACACATATACGTATACAAATTAATAAACAAATACATATATACAGATAAATATACATATAAATTTGCGTCTACGTATACATATACATATACACATACACGTACATATACATATAAATAGAAATTTCCGTATACATATGCATACACATATACATATACATTTCTGTATACATACATATAAATATATATATATATATATGTATATATATATATATATATTCATTTGCGTACACGTATACATATACAAATACATACACAATTACATATATACAGATAAATATACATATTTTAAAAAAAAATATATATATATATGTGTGTGTGTGTGTGTGGGCTTGAAGCCATTAGAGCAATTAACCAGACCACATTAGAAAAGAACAATGCTGGCTGGTTCGGGTGGTGGGCAGCTGTCATGCGATAAGGAAGACAAAGAGGGCCATTTTTGGACGAGTGTTAGAGACAATAGCAATACTTGTGTTGCTTTCAGCGAAAAGAGAAATGGTCAAATGTGCCCGGTTTAGTCAGTTGAATGAGCAAAAGTAGAGCCTGGAGCAGTCGAAGAGGGTACAAAAGTGAGCTGGCAAGTGAGTATTGCTGCTCTGCCGACTGTCCTCTTGCCACGTCCTCCTGCTTCTTCACCCGACGGGTTGGTTCGTCTCCACGTGCCCTCGTCTCTGGCCGCTTCCGAGGCAGGCGCCTCATTTGCTGTCGCGCCTCACAGGCCGAGGCCCAGGCTGGACTCGGACTCAGACCCGGGCCCGTTGGACCTCCGCTTTGACGACAATGAGGACGACTCTTCGTCTGCTGAGGAGGGCGGAAACAAGTGAATAAAGCACAAATCCACGACCAAACACGTACAACACAAATACATTCATACATAAATTAAAGCTTGAATAGGAGAACCAGTCCATCTGATCCCCATAAAGTGACCAAGGAGTGATTGTTGCCTTTTCACACAATTATATGAATGGGAATACCTTATATGAAATTGGCTCGGGTTAAATTTAAAGATGACATTCGATTGTGTGAAACTTTAATTCTCAGTCATTTTTCACTTTATGCGATATAGAGAGAGTCAGTCAGCTCTCATAATAATTAAATTTAATTCGAGTTAACTTAAATTAAATTTGAATAACAATTAGATTTTTTGATTGACGATTGTCAGAATCTAAAATAAGATTATATAATTATAATATAATATAATATAATATATATAATATATTATATAATATAATGATATAATATATATAATATAATAATTATAATTATAATATATAATAATAATAATTTTAGGGGAGACAAAGTAAATATTTGTTGGCTAGTCATTGCTTGCTCGGAATTGGTTTGTATTGACTAGCCTAACATGTAAGTGCATTTTTCATTACAATTGATGGTGTTGCTAAATTTCACACAAATCAGGCTTATGCTCTCGCGGTCCATTTGGGATGAGAGCACCTTTTAAGAAGCAAGCTTCAGTGCAAACTGATGACCATGTCAGGCCTAACCATCGGATTGTGGGAAATTTCCACGATCAGGTGTTTAATTTATCAAAACAAACAACTTTCTCTTATACAACTGGACACCAAAATGTTAGAACAACACAAACTCACCGCAAGCCAACAATCTTTCAACGCCCAAATATGGCTAGATCTAAAGCACCAAATCAAGTTTATATTTCCCATAAGATTTTGTAGTCTTGGCAACCGTTTTAGCGTACCACAATCTTTTTCGACACGAATGGGCATGATTTGATGAAGAGGAAGGCTGATTTGCACAGCAAGTGCATTAGGAAGGAGGTCGTATGCCTGACTGGTGGTGGTCATGACGCTTTTGTCTGTACTACTCTCGATTTATGGGCCTAACATACAAGTTAGTACAGCATGTTTCCCTTAAATCAAATAGAGAAGTGTGAAAAAGCCGGGAAAAGTAGCACGGTCACTTGTACACTATGCAATAGGGATAATTAAATAAAAATAAATCGAGGCAATTGACAAAAAAGTAATACACCAATGCTTCATGATAAATTATTATTTATTAATTCACATAAACGCATAAAATATCTCTCAGTGAATAAACATCATCAGTTCATCCACAAAATGGGGATATACACAAATTAAAAATAGCTTTAAATATGTAAAAAAATTAGAATATTTCAGGCAACCAAGAAATAATATTTGTTTTAATTTAGAAGTAGAAGCAAAAAGCATAACATTTCTATCAACCAATCTATCTGGTTTCTAGGAAAAAAATATTATTAGGAATTAAATTCAAATCTTAAAATGTTTTAAAATTATTTATTTCAATACTTAATAATGGCGACAGGACATTCAAATAATGACAATAAACGATTTTAAATCCATTTGAAAAATATTAAACCCGAATAAGAGAATATAATGAGTATTTCTCATGTAGAAAAGGTCAGAAAAATTTAACTCTCCGAGGACGAATGTCTCATTGTTAAACAGACGATGTAAGCAAAGGAGAGAAAGAATGCCGAGAGAAGGACAGGAATTGAGGATGAGTGAAGAAGGTGAGGGGCAAAATAACATATTTTCGATATTGAAAAGCCCACATTCTAACAAACTCTTATTTGTTAGTTCTTGTCCGCACGAGTTTGTTTCAGCGTCTATTAAAATCCCAGTTGAACCTACAAGTTTGCTCATGAAAAGGCTGAAATTATGGACACCAGCTCACAAAATATGTATACAACTACAGCAACTAATTTTCAATGAAGCACTTGGTATCTCCAATTAAAACAAACCAACAGGTCTATCCTTAAAAGTTGTATTAATTGATTTGTCTAATTAAGTCGCATGCAATTTCACATTATATGCACACCCTTGTGTGTGAATGAGGGCAAGGAAGGTGGGGTAGGTAGAAACACAACGCT